ATATATATATTCACAAATAAATGAAATACAAAATTCTTTATATAAAACTTTTATTACACCCTTTCTCTCTTTCCCATACCATGCCCCAACATTATCTCATAAAGTTTAATGTTTTTGTGCATCTGTTTGTGGCGATTAAATAATCGCCGTGGTTTGGTTCTTGTTATAAAATATAATTCAATAGAAGTGTTAAGGCGAGAACGCATTAAGCGGTTGCGGTCCCGTCGCATCGCGAACCGTGCTAATCTAGATCGTGCAGTGGAGTTCCTTCCCACGTTTTATAATGTATGCATTCGCACTAGACATTTGTCTCACTCGCATTGCCTTCTCCTCCGATCTTTTCCAAAGAATCTCGGGAGACCATGAAGCGATCGAGACGAGCTTCCTCTTCCACTATTTAAAGGAGAACGCAAGCAGGATTGTGTGCAATTGCCAAATGACTGATTTTGTAAAAGACCGTGATCGGCTCAGCCCAGAATGGTCCGCAATGCGACGGAACTACAAACGCCTAATGTGTTGTCTCCTTAACTTTTACTTCAAACGTGTTTTCTGTAGTGGCATTGTATGAATAAGGTCTCTGTTCTAAAAAGACAACATTATGGTCGAAAGTAACATTTCTGTGTATGTATTAATTCAACATTTTTATCAATTCAATAAAAAAAACAAACAGTACTGTGTGAACTGGCTGTTAGAAAGCTTTCTTAGAATAATAGACTAGGCAGTATCTGTTTTGGTTTGGATGAATCGTATATCCACGGAGATTTTTAGCTTTTTTGCTTTCAAATATCACTAGAAATGAAAATTTTTCTATGCGCATAATAAAACGTGGGCTTAACTTTTGGCGGCACAATATGTTAAAAAATTCAAAAAATGTCATATTTTTCTTCCTATTTAATTATGTATCTTTTCAAGAGTTGAATTTAGGCAAAAATGAAGAGGAAAAAATGTTTGTAATTATATTTTACAATATACGCTAGTTACAAATTGAATGAATTATGATTATTGTAAAAATCGAAAAAATCGCCAAAAATGAGGTTAAAAAACATTACTTTTTAGGGAATTTTTTTGGAGTCTTTAAGTTGGGTATAGAACCTTCATACTTGGCTCAAGAAAAGTTTATGTTACATAGAATCATCACACCAAATTTCATAAAAATCGGTCAATGCATAATAATTTTGCAATCCAGATTTTGAAAAAAAATTTGCAAATTTTCAAAATTTTGCACAGCAAAAACCAAGGCCCTTAGATACTTGAAAATTTAATTACATATAGAAGGACTCTCAAGCTTTCAAACAATTTTTGAAAAATTCGAAACCGTCAATTAGGAGAGCTCTGGCGCTTGTTTAAACATTGGTCAAATTTTTGTACTTATAAACAATTAGAATAACTTTGTGAATGTTCAATCAAATCAAATTTTTTAAAGCAGATTTTAAAAGTTATTGGAAAGACGCTTCTTTAAAAAAACATATCGATTGGTCAATTAGTTACGTAGTTATATCCAATCAAAGTTAACCGTCATTTACACTAAATGTACTGGGACATCCGGGCTAATTTTTCGAAAAATACCTTTGGTATTCCGAGTACTTACCAGGTCTAAGTTTGCAATACTTTTCTTCATTGGCAACCTACTTTAAAACGCGTTTAAAATTATTTATGCAAGCGAGAAATTCAAGAAAATCCTACGGGTGGTGATGGTGGGGGAAGCAGAAAGCGCGGCCGCTTCGGCCTGCTCGAAATTGAATCGGCGAGTTCAAAACCGCGACGCGCTTAACAATTTTTAATATCGCAGCTTCTAGAGCTCCAATTTTATGATTTTTTTTTAAATTGATGTCTCGCAATTTAAAAAAAAACAATTAGCGTATTTTCAAATGCCTATCGTTAATAATTTTATTGGTCTTTCAACAGTCCGATAATTATTTATCTTTAAACTTCGTTTCATTATCAACTTTATATTTTTATTGTATCAAAGGTAAGTGCATAAACTTATATACTGTTTATCAAAGATCAAAAACAAATTTATTTAAATATTCTAAAATTGCTTAAACACCAATTATTTTCAAAATTTGTCGAAAGTTAGTAATTAAATAATTAATTAATTAATTAATTAATTATTAATTTAATCATGATTACTTTTGTGATTAAAGTATAATTTAAATATTATTTACTGTTTAAAATATAAGCAAAAGAGAAATTAACTCGTTATATTACAAAAATACAAAATTATAGTACTTATAAAAATTCGACCAATGTTTAAACAAGCGCCAGAGCTCTCCTAACTGACGGATTAGAATTTTTCAAAAAGCGTTTGAAAGCTTGATAGCCCTTCTATATGTGATTAAATTTTCAAGTATCTAAGGGCCTTTGAAAATTTGCAATTTTTTTTTTTAAATCTGGATTGCAAAACTATTATGCAAAATCTATCAAACCGATTTTGATGAAATTTGGTGTGATGATTCTATGTAACATGAACTTTTCTTGAGCCAAGTATGAAGGTCCTATACTGAACTTAAAGACCCCAAAAAAATTCCCTAAAAAGTAATGTTTTTCAACCCAATTTTTGGCGATTTTTCCGTTTTTTACAATAATAATCATGATTCATTCAATTTGTAACTAGTAATTTAATTACAAACATTTCTTTCCTCTTCCATTTTCGCCTAAAATCAACTCTTGAAAAGACACAATAAGAAAAATATGACATTTTTCGAATTTTTTTAACATATTGTGCCGCCAAAAATGAAGCCCACGTTTTTTTTTTATACGCATAGAAATTTTTTTATTTCTAGTGATATTTGAAAGCCAAAATTCTCCGTGGATATACGATTCACCCAAATATGGACTCTTTGAAACAGATACCGTTTGAACTATAATAGTGATATGATTTAATGATATGAGAGATATGACCAAAAGAATGTGCCATAAGCATAATATGATAAATCTGTTTTACATTTACCAATTATTACCAACAAATTATTACAGAGTTCATAGTTCAAAAGTAATAAAGAATTCCCTGACTTCTCCAGGTTTTCCCAGACTGGACTCCCATAATCTTTTTTATACCCTAAGAACTCTTATAAAGGTTTCAAAACCACAAATAGTTTTCTCTTTCAAGAACCCAGGGCCGGCTTTCACAAAATTTCCAGTTGCAAACATCAAATTCCCTGACTTGAATTGAATGAATTTTTAAAATTCCCAGACTATTCCCTGTTTTTTATGAAGAATAACAAATTCCCTGACTTCCCGGTATTCCCGGCCGCTACGAACCCTGTATTAATTTGCTGGGCCTTTTTACACGTTACCATAAATTAGGTAATTTATTGGTCAAATTCAAGGCTAACTTTCAGAATAAAAATTAATAATAATAACAGCAAACCACAATAGACTGATAACTATGGTAACATGGTTAACTTTTATCTGAGTTAACTAAAAACTTGGATAATACTTTACATGTTTTTAATTATGTTAATTATGTATATGTTAACAACATTCTTGCTAAAACTGTTTAATAATACACATGTAATTAGAAATGTCGTCTGTCAATCCATGTCTGCTTCATATCGGTTTTGGTTGCAATATCTCTTTATCTTTTTAGAAACAATACATCTACTGTACAACGTTTTCTAAGAGCTAATACTTGGAAACTCAAATAATCCAATTTTGGATAACAACTTGGATAATTGATGACTAACTGTATATGTAACTTACCTTTTAAATCGTTAAAATAAAAACAAGTGCGAAAATTATACATGGGGTAAAAAAAATGGTAGTCAAACTGTTAATCACATTCTTTAGGTGAAAATAACAGGACTTATGCCATTTTCCATTTAGGCACCTCTTTTTCAAGATAAAGGATGTTAAAGTTAAAATTTAATTTTTATTAATAATTAATGTAATAAATGTTGTTTTTACAATATTCAGTTGAAACTTTGCACAATTTTGATATCTTTTATTTTATTTGAAAAATGAACTGTTTATCACAATGTAAAATAATTGGAGAACTACTCGTTTCTCAAAAAAAGTTCATGGTTTTTTTTTGCTAGAAATACAATTTTAGACACAAACCAAACATAACAAATTAGAAAAAATTAATGAACTAAAATTTTGCATTTTTTTAAAGGTAACACGAGTATGACCCAAAAAAAAATTGAGCCAATTAGTTTCTCGGTATTTTCATGATTATATTGTATCTAAAATCATAATATTTAGAAAAACAAAACGTGAACTTTTTTCAGAAACAAATAGTCCTAAAGTTGTTAGATATAATGAAATGCTTTGTAATGTTAATCAAATTTAAAAAAATAATATATTGAGTCAGTTTTTCAACTAAAGTCAAATGACATTTTTTTTCCTAAAAACATCATAAGTACGGGTATCTCTGCCACTGATACAAGTATTTATATCCAAATTCACTAGATTTTTACCTATCATTTTGTAGTGAACGCCTTCAGAAATATTTTAGAAAAGGCGATTTTTTTTCATTTCCACACCAAAAACTATCAATATTCTGACCAATGTGGACCTTTTTTGATTAAAATCACTCAAAGAATCACCCCTTAAACTTTGCCGACATACTTAATTAACACCCTCTATAATGATTTCTAAACAGCCTATTTTTTTTGCATAAAAATATATGAAAATTACCTGGCTGGAGGTCTCCCAGATTCAGCAGCTTCAGTATCTTCAATAGCCAGATCAACTTCTTCGTCACTGACATTTGACCAAAATTCTATACCCTGTAAAGCAACTGCATCATTTTCAGATTTCATAGCCTCTAAAGTAATTGGAAACAGAGCAGGCGCCATATAAGGTTCCATATGTTGATAATATAGCGACATAATTTTAACCAAACATTGTAGTGCTGCAACTTTTATCTGAGTATCTGGAGACTGTGTAGCCTCACAAACTACTTCCATAATATAATTCCTCTCGGTAGGTTGATCGAAATTTGCTTTTGTAAATTCAAGAGAGTTTAAAAGTGCTTGAGTTGCTGCCAATCGAACATGGTTACTTGGCTCAGTTGCTCGCATACCATGAACAATAGCAGTTAAAATATCATTTGATTGAGATACTAGTACATCAGAATCTATTTCCTGACAGATATAACCAATAGCTTCTAGAGTTGCTTCTTTTTGAATTTCTGTGGAATTTGCCTGGCAAACATTGCTTACAAGAGTAGCGATAAGATCTGGCCATTGTCTCTGAGGTAGTTCAGCTACTGCTATATAAGCTACACACTGTGCAGCTGATGAAGGTCTATTACTTTCTGTTCCCAAAGCTCCGACAACCTAAAATTGTTAATTAAAACCTTAATCCTGGATCCATGTGCATGCATGATAACGGATCCGTTGTAACCACCTGATCATCAACGTCCAATTGAGTATCAGCAGAGCGACTTGATACTCGTCAAGGTCAAAACGGATGAAAGTTTGTTAATTACAACTTTGACAATACAATGATGATACAATGAATGATTTGATACAATGACAGAGACAGTATAGACTAACCTGCCATAACGGTTTATTTACATTTGGCTATTTATTTGTTTAATTTAACAAAAAATGAGGTGGTGATCCAGATTGCTTTTTAACATAATTAAAATTGATGCAATGCTCATGTCACAATAAATACGGATTTGTATCATGTGGATAGGCCAAATTTCATGTATGCGTATCACGAATACGAATATCCCTGATCATGTATGCACGTGGGTCCAGGCCAAGTATTTGAAATTAAAACACTAATTTTCACAATTATTTGAATTTTTTAATCCATGATGTGCAAAAAATACATTGTGTTGAATAAAAAACTATTAATTTTACTTACATTTTTCTTTATATAAGTTCGTATTTCTTCTGGAAAAGCTAGCCATCTATGTTGATAAGTAGATTTAATTGTCGGGTCCTTGGAAGTAAGTTGATTTTTAAGTTGAAGACCAGCAGCCATTCTTGCGACAGGACTATTGCCCCCATGTCGAAGAATTTCAGATAAAGTTTTTATAAATTCAAGTAAGTTTGTAGCGGCAGCTTGTTCAAGGAATGATGAAGCTTGTTCTAATTCATTCTTATCTAAAAGCAATAAAAACATTCAAGTGAAGTATAAAATTAACAGTATTTATAGAGACAACTAATACATTTGTTTACGAGAAAACGTATTTAGTTAAACCGTAAAAAGAAAATGTATAACATTATGAAAAAAAATACCTGGTGAAACTGTTTTTTCCAATATCCGAATAAGCTGCAGTGTTTCTTGATGCATTATTAATTATTTTATTAACGACGAAAAATGGTTTTAACGTTATTTTATCCTTCCTTTTGCCAGCCGGCTTCACACCACATGTAAATGATGATTCACTCAATTCACTAGCAGAAAAGAAATCCGTAGAACTCAAATCTGAACTGTCCTACTGTCCTGTCCGGTATCCGATGCGTTTTAACACAAAATTCCACTGGTTTTTTTTTCAGAGTTTAAAATTTATAAGTAAATAATTTAAAGAAATGCCAAAATTACAATAATTTTTCGACAATTTTGTATTTAAAATCAAAAATCATGGAACTCTTATTTATTTAAATTATTTTTTTATTATTTAATGGGAACTACTTTTCCTAGCGTACTAGATTTAGTCATAAATCCATAGAAAACCTGATGGATAGTCATAGAATACCTCTTATAAAGAAAAATTTAAACATGAAATAAAGCCAATGGGGAGAAAATAAATATGAATATTGGTGAATAAAACAGAAAATTTGTCAATCAGATAATTATAGAATTACTTTCAGTAGCTGGTAAAGATGGGTTTAGTCAGTTTGTTTTAGTAATACACACAAACATAACAATAAGCATGAACATATGTTTAAAAGTACACACAGCCATATAAATTTTGATTTATTAGCTTTGTTCGAAAAACAAATTTGCAACGATTTAAGTTTACACAGACGAGCCGGCGAAGCAAGAAAAGCGCTTGAAGAAAGGGCCCTAGCCGGCGGGGCCCAGCCAGGACAAAAGGAGGTCCCACAAAGCGCCTACACCGGCCGCATTTGCGGTTGGGGTAGATGACGGATGGGACCCACCTACGAAGGCAGGATAAAGAGGGATAATCCCCCTCGATCCCAAATAGCAAGAAGAGCGCCAGAAGAAAGGGCCCAAGCCGGCGGGGCCCAGCCAGGACAAAAGGAGGTCCCACAAAGCGCCTACACCGGCCGCATTTGCGGTCGGGGTAGACGACGGATGGGGCCCACCTAC